GAAATGTTTAGCTGGTAAGCAGTGCGTATGAGTAATATGAAAATAAATTCAACTGAATGTGTATAAAACTGACTTTGATTTGAATCTGTTTTCTGGGGTGGAAGAAGGTAAGACTATTATAATTACATCAAGGTATTTTCTATGCTTTTATACTACAAATAACATTTTCTTTTTAATTACATTAATAGTGCTCTTGTTTAATTCAGCAGCCAGCCATTTGTTGAATATTCTGGCATGCCGCTCCCTTAAAATGATTCCGCCCTTTGATGATTCTCCGTCGACCTTTGTTTGTCACCTACCGTCATAAAAATGTTTATCATACTCATTAGCGCACATCTCGCATTGCTTTCAGCCCATAAACATCCAAGGACAAGGACAAACATCCTAGAACAAGGACAAAGCCTTGAGCCAAATGGAGGCTCATTGGTTATGCCAAGCAGGCTCCCAATTACCAGGATGCTTCTCCACCCTGCTGCCAACAGTTTACCCCCTTTGGGGCAATAAAAAAAGAACATAATAAACTAACTCATAAAAGTCAATAAACTGTCAAATGGCAAAGCATTTACATCACTTAAGCATAAATCTCTCGCCCATCCGGACACTTTGTCCTGTGCATCCTACGGGTATCCATAGCATAGCGTATGGAAGGAGATCAGGGTGCCGAGTACCATTTACATAAGCCCACAAATTCGCCAGCGATAAATGATCATTAACGCAATCGGCCGTAATAACTTATTGTACTTTATTTAACTTTTATTTCTGCGTGTGCGGAAAAAATCGCAAAATTGTTACGGGTCAGTGGGAATTTTCATGCAGACGTGACAGCGTGAAACAGAAGTAAGCAAATTATGGCGACCAAATAAATACAATTCATTTGGCTCGTGTTTGCCTCTCAACTCATTGCGTAAATGTGCCACGCCCACATGTGCACAGTGGCAGATTATAAACACTCGATTTATTTTCCATTTTTTCCACACACCACGGAGTGACGAAAGGCGCTTTTTAGGGATAATCTGAAGAGGTATTTTCAGCCAAAGAATTTCGCTGGTTAGAGCCGGCATTTTATTGCACGAACTGTTGTTGCTAATTGTATTAATTTATTAATTTCGCAAGTGATGAACAATGGGCCAAAGTCGCTGTCTCAGTGCAACACACTTACTCGTAATTAATCGGCCTGCCGCAGCAATCACTTATTGGCCCATTCTTAACCTGCCTCATATGGCCCATAGGCCACGCCCACTGAAAGTCGTAAGTTAACCAACTGATCAAAGTTGGCCCAAACGGAGCAAGATGTCAGTTGCAGTTGGCATTTCCCGGCGTAGTTGCAATCATTTCATTATTTATTGTTGTTTTTACTTGGCCGGACTCGTCTTTTACCGGGCAATTAATGGGATTTTTCATATGCATATACACACATATATAGAGGTAATGTGCGGTGGGTGGCTTAAAGCAGCAAACATTATTACCTGGCCAACGGCAGCAGTAGAGCTTGCCCTCTGCCACTGTGTGTCCGTAATCGTTTCGGTTTATTTTAATTAAAATTTACAATTAATACTTAATGAGTCGGGCGAGTGACATCAGCAGCAGCAGCAGCAGCAGCAACTGCAGCAACATCAAATTGAATTTCCGTGCAGCATCGCTGTGTGAGTGGCATGTGGCAGCAACACCAACACCATCAACCAATGTGCATGATAATTTCGGAAAAGTAATTCCCACCCACACACACATAGCCCAGATTGGATGTTGTGTGCATACAGGTATTTAAACAAATACACCCGAAGATAACTTACCTTTCTATCAATAATTGATGTTTGTCGGCATATTTAATTGTTGAAATCCACATTCAATGTTGCTGCAAGACGCAGAATGCAAGTGTGAAGGCCGTTGACAGTTTCCTTGCCCTTTCAAATGGCCCAAATTGTCTGGCCAACTTCAAAAATATATGTGGGTATTACGGATTGAGATGGAAAATTGTGGAAAATTAGCATGTCAAAGACAGGTGTCGGGCGAAGTTTTCCCCAATCCGCCACAGACGATAAACAGCATGTGTTTTATTTAAATATACAAAGGATTCTTCCCTTTTTAGGCACAAACTTGCAATATGGTTAACCCCAAGAGGATACTTTCAAACCAAATTATTTATGCTGCTTCCATTTCGGTAATCCAATCGCAGTCGGGCTCTCTATAATTTGTCCGATAAACTTTCCGGCTTGATTTAATCCCCCAGAGCTTAGTAAAACACACATGAGGCCAACTTTTCTAATTACCATTTGCAGGCGTACGTACGTCCAAGTTTTGGTTAAGTAAAGAGCCATTGGCAAAGTTATGAACAAATCATTAAGCTGTCAATTTTGTGTAGTTTGCCGATAGGTGTAATAAATGAATGGGTCATGAGTAATTCATGCCCAGGCAAATGAGAGCGGGATAAATTTGAAATTGATTGCCGAGACTTCTGACTGATTGAAGTTAAATCTTTGCTGAGGCAACTCAATATTAGCCCCATTGAAAAGTTATGAACATTTTCGGTCCAAACTTCGTCCACACATCCCGAGCTGAATCTGTGCTTAGTGTTTGGCAAAGGAAAAATTCGGAAAAGCTGCAAACTTTCTCTGCTATTTTGTGTTTTCGTTTTCGTTTTCGTTTTTGGCAATTAAATGGGAATTTTTGTTTTCATTTTCCCCCATTCAAATTGATGACAGATACATCTCCTTGCCTCCCTGAAAGCCTAAATGGGTCAGAATCGTCGTTCTTTTTCTGCGTTACCATTGACATACTCGTATGTACAGGTATGCAGGCTACTATAAAACAGCGTTTTCCACTACTATTTCCCGCACTTCAGTGTCATTGTCTCTCTTCCTGCCGACTGTATATTTTGACATAGAAAACTTTTGCACCTTGTAACGACTTTTTAAGTGCCACCACTCGCGTTTTCCACAGCTAAAAAAATCACAGAACGCTCAGAAAGCATGAAATGTGGAGCAAAATGAATATGTAAATCTAGGACTCTTTGGTGGCAACATAGCGAAATGAAACAAAAATGGGCGAAAGCGTTGGGAATGAAAATAAATGTGAATATTTATGTGATTTATATGGAAGGACGCTTCAACTGGGGGCCAGGAAATCTCGCGGGGCACAGCAATGTGGTTGGCAACAGGGGGTTAAGCTTCAAGGGTTGGATTTAATGGAAATTCGCATATGCATGTCGCTGAGTCTGGCTATCCTTTCAGACTTTGTCTGTCTAGACAAATGAGTGAGGGTCTAAAAAAGTGTATTTTGAAATCCAAACTATTTAGCGACATTGCCAATGTATGGCCGCGCATTTTAATTGCTTTTGGTTGCCAAAAATGGGAAGAGGAAATCAATAGAGCCCGCAAATAAACATTGAATACAGCACAGCATTATGCGCTTATTTACTGAAACCATTGTGCTATACATTTTACCTCATTTGGCATTTTGGCATTACGCATACGCCGCATGGACCAAAGCATATTAATTGAACAACTCTTCGGGCGAAAGCGCCACGGCCCACTGCAATTTTTACTTTGTTTATGTCTGTTTGTGTTCATGGTTTTGGGTCGGAACGGCCTTTTGTATCATTCCCTCATTATGCAAATGGCTGTGCTCTAAGTGCACTAAATATTGCGCATACGCCGCGTGTGCCCATAGGACGTCAAAGCCAAAATTCATTCGGGCCATTTGTATGTGCTTAATTCAATGTTTTATTTTTGGCACAAAGTTTAAATGCAGTTTGACTTCCCACTTAATATGCGGAGCGGAAAATGTTCGAAAAATCCGAAATGTTAATGAGTAGTGCGTTTCCCTTACAGGCGAAGCCTGTTCAAACAACTTTATCATTAAAGCGGCGAAATGGCTGATGTGCAATGCAACTTTTATATCATGTTCATTGTAATTACCCAAGCCAGAGGCAAGTACTTGGTTTCATTGCACTCTGAAAAAATCATTTAAATCGATACAGCAAGACTGTCACTTAATCATAAAACATTCTATGAAACGCAACATGATCATTGTGATAATAGCAGAGTAAGCTTTCAGCATCTAAAAACCAGTAAACCCATGTATTTCAATGCAGAATCTTTAGGTATGTGCTGCAGGCTCACTCCCTCTGCCTTTGTTTGTGGAAAAATTAATTTAAAATTAATTTGTTTTTAATCGCGCTCATTGCGGCGAAATGGTTGGCGTTCCAGGATAATTTGCACATGTGGGCAAACAAATGAAAACGCATTAAAAATGTAGAGGTAATCACGATGCTAATGACGTCGACGGACAAGCAAACGGACAATGGAGTTGGCTTCTGTTGCGGGGCAGGGAGTAAACAAATTAAGCTATCTGTTTCGCCATTTGATTAATTGCAATGCAATGCAATTTCAATTTTTTCGCCGCGCCATCCTTTGTGCCTCATGTCCTGCCATATCATAACTGTCAGCGTCAGGACTGCAGATTGTTCCTGTTGTGATTTTTTGCACGGTTCGGCTGGCAGCTGTAGGAGAAAAAAGCCGCTGAGGAATTGACAGGTCGTGGCAAACCCATGCCCGGCTACCCTTTTTGGCCATTTGGCCGTAGTTATGGCATTCAATGCGCTTCCATGCTGTTAACAACGAATGCCAGCCATATGCAAATAATTAAGATAACTGCAGCTCCCTCTGACAGCAAATGGGATTTATTTAAAATGCAAAAACCGCAGCCGGAGCACAAAAAATGTGCAACTCTTAAAAGTAACAAGGGATTAAAAGTGTTGCGGAGCTGAAAAGCCATTCAAAGTAGATGCGTGCCACTTTGATCGGCAACCGCAAAGCCAGTGGTGCTCTATATGGTAATTTTGAGCGTTTTCATTACACCTTTGGGCATTAGTATTGGTATTTGGAGCTGAACTTGCTTACTATAGTTCTTAACGCGTTCATAATCCTTAACTAGCGTGAATAATGGTTCTATATAAGGTGCAGCTGCGATATCTGAAAGCTGCAATCAAACCTATCTGCGAAATGCAGTGCTCGCTGGCTTCCGTACTTCTGCTTGGCCTCTCAGTTTTGGCCACTAAGGCAGTGAGTGCATCTATGACATAATATGCCTATACTATATATTTCGCACTATTTGCAGCCTGAAGAAGTTAAAATTGCAGGCGAGTGTGCCAAGGACAACCATGTTCATAAGAGGGAGGCGCTGGACCTGATCATGACCTACCATCTGAAAAAGAAGACTCACAATGTCAAGTGCTTCATAAACTGCCTCTTTGAGCGAACCAACATATTGGAGAAAGTGAGGAAAAAGCATCCGAAGAAAAATCACAACTGCGACTCCATCAAGGATGCTGATAAGTGCGTAGAATCCTTCCACAAGTTCCAATGCTTCGTTAAGATTGAGGAAAAATTGAGGAGGAGCAAATTGTCCTAACAATAAACGAACTTCAATTATACTACAAGACATTTTGCATTGAGCGTGTGTAAATTTGCCTAATAGGGGCATCCAAATAGTTTAAAGCATCATGTCATGGTAAAATATCGACATTATCCCCCTAATTATTACGGCCATAACTCAGCAACGACATGTGCCACAAACAAAGCCAAAACTTTAACAATTAATCAAGCCACTTTGCCCCCACACGAATTTAAAGTTTAGACTTCACTAAAAGCACTTCAGCGCGCGAACTGCGAGAAATATGAAAACATAATGAGTACGAAAATAAACACAAAGTTGGGCGGACTGTCAGCGGCAGATGGGGGCTACTAGCCGCCCCCAAAAGTGGGGCCTCGTAATTAACGGAATTAAATGCCGCGGCGTCCTGCAAGAAACGCGCTTTGTGCAGTGACCAAAAAATGACATGGCCAGAACCGGAGTTCTGACCAAAAAATTTATTTACAACGGCAAACCGCATGGCAGCGAAAATTGTTCATATAACATTAACATTCGATTGGGGCGGAAGTTGCATTTTGCTCTTAAATGCAGCGAGTGCGGGAATGTTTTTATCTTTATTTTTATTTTCCATTTTCATTTTTATTTCCATTTTCATTTTCATTTTTGTCCACAGACAAAGAGAGATCTCCGCACATGCTGCTATTTATGCAAGAAATTCTCTGCAGACACAGCGGCTTACAAGGGGGCGGATTTTGGGGGAGGGAAGGGGCGTGGCGCCTGGTGGGTTAACTCATACGATATGCGGCCAGAAGCAGAGATACCAGATCAGAATGCACGGCAAATAAAATTAAACAATGCCCGTCCACATGACCCATTTAAATAATAACATTTAAATGCCGAGGCAGCAAATCAAGAGGAAAGTGCTGCAGTTCTTCAACACTTAGGCAGATGCAAGTTTGGATGCCCTTTAAAGGGGCTTTTCTATACGTTAGCTACAAAAAAGTCAACTATTTCAAGCAAACCCCATCTTTGTGCTCAGCTTTTCTTGCAGGACAGTGCTGTTTTTTCCTAGTGTACCCACATCCGCCTACATTTCTTTTCATTTCCCATTTTTATTTTTCCTGGCCACCCCATACCACCCCATCCCACCCCCACTTTTGCATGCAGCGTTGTGTCAAGTTTTTAAACGTCAGCTGTGGCTGCAGATGGGTTAAGGGGGCGCGCGGCGGCGGCGGCGGCGTCAGCGGGTTAAGAGGATGGACTCGGGGGCTTGGCCCACATTCCTTTGCAGTTTCGGACTGCCGTGCTTTATGCGGATTCATATGTAAATCAAGTGAAAACATCGCAGCCAGCGGACTGCCTCCTTGCAGAGCTGACTAACCGGAAGCCCTAACCGGAAGGTGAAAGCTAAAGTCACTGCCTAGGATTGCGAAATATGTGTGCACGGCTCATAGAAGTCCGATCGACTACTAGGTCCCATTATCAAGGCTTTAAAGGGCATAACTATTGGTATTATTTTAGCAGCTCCATTTGGCATATATCATTTTAGGAACTCCCAGCGAAATCATGAATCCCCAAGTTCTACGGGCATAGTTATGCAAACAAGCCGGATCAAACTGTCTTTAAGGCCACAAAAAATGAACTCCCGAAAGGAAACCGAAATCCGACACCGAATCACAGGCGGAATTGCATTTCAAGCGATTCGTGGCGCAAAGTGAATGTAATAAAGCGATTTCTTTGCTTAAATATCCCGGTGCTAGCGCACTGCGGATAATTCTATCTGATGCACACCCCACCCACTACCAGCCCACAACGCTTTTCCACCCACCACCCCCCGCATTATTTGCATATGGCCATATGGCCCGGGAATTTGAGTGTGTGCTTGTGAGTGTGTTTTGGCTGAAAAAGGAATGGAAATTGAGAAAACGAAATGGAAAGCTCTGCTGCAGTTGATTTGTGTTTTTACTTGCCTTCAGCTGCTACCACCCACCAACCACCCATCACCACCCACCATGCATCGCCTATTTCTGCGATGTTTCAGTTGTTTTTGGCGTCTTATCAGGCTATTCTTTGTTCGGAAGAACGGAGAACAGAAAACGAGTGCGAACTCTGGAGCGTAATCGAAACCAAAACCAAAACACTGGCGAGCATTGTTTTCGATTCCAATACAGCAGCGGGCTCATTATCATCATCAACGTCATGTCGGTGAGCAGTCTACCCAGGAGCTGGGATAACAATGTAGTTGCCAATACCACAATGACTGAAAGCAGGGCTAGAAGATAAGCCATCGGGTCAAGTTTCAGGATTGCAAGAGTAGCGCACGGCCATCTTTCCATTTCGAATGAAATCGAATCAGGGCGCTCAGTTCATATTTCAAAATCATGAGTCACTGTTCTTTCGCCATAATAAAACACTTGCCAACTTGCATGTAGTTTCTCTCAGTGCGCTAAAATTAACCCACTGATATCAAATTATCGTAGGCACAAAGAAACCAGTGATTATTCACTTTTTACGTTCGAGGGTGGATCGAATTGTTTGTCCACCGCCTTCCTCTCATTTTCAGCAAAGCGGAAGAGGCAATCAAAGCAAACAAAAGGAAATGCCAATAAAAAGGCCTACAAAAAGAGCGTCACAAAAGATTGTATCAAATTTGATTACAAAGGGAGAGAAAAGCTGAACTTGAGGCTTCCGCTCAGAGATTGCCGATCATTTCCAAGATTAGTCATTCTACACAATAGCTACAACTGTAATAGAAGTAATAATAGCTCATATTAGCTGTTTAATTCTGAGTTCTCACATGATATGCTTTGATTACTAATTTTAGCACTTCTTGGCCGTCCGAATTCGAAGGAACTACAGATTTAAGTGTAAATTTATTTATTTTAAATTAGATTACAATGGAGAGGGAAAACCCGACTGCTCAGCTCGCTCTCCTCAGAATTTCGAGGTTAACTTAGAGGTTGGCTATCACTGCCTACTGAATTTTAGCGGGAATCTCCACGCAGATGATGTCCGCTCGGTCCTGGTCCTGCAGCTCCCACTTGACGAGCACGGACACCTTGGGGTAGGACCTCAGCACCGGCAGGGTGGCCGTGTAGCGGTACGACTCGCCCTTCTCGAGCGGGCACTTGAGGCCGCTGGCCACACAGGCATCGGGATTGGCCAGCGGGAAGGGCATCTCGATGCCCAGGACCTTGCCGTGGACCACCGTCTTCACCGCCGTTGCCTCCTCGGCCAGGGCGAAGTCGATGGAGAAGCTGACCGTGGTGTTCCTCTTTAGTATGCACTCCGCCTTGGTGGTGTCGCAGCCCTCGATGGCCACGCGGGTGAACTTGCCCGTCTTCGAGCCGCAATCGCTGAACTCCAGGGCTCCCGCGAAGGCCACCAGTGCAGCACAGGCAATTACCGCGTACCTCAGCATTTTCCTCCACTTAATTGAATTACAAGGTAAGCGTTTCAGGTGTCAGGCTCTTTCACTGGCTTCCGCCTCTTTCTGCCTCTTCACAGCGCTACGAATCTACTGAATCTGGAGAGAGCCCGAAGACAACTCAAAGCTTTCTTCTGAACGCAAACAGCTGCGCGCGGCGACTCAGAAGGAAAGCTTTCTCCGCCGACTAACGGGGTGCGGCGAACTATCGATTGGCAGGAAAATATATTATATACGGTACAAACGATACTAACCCATATTTTAAAATAAAAAAAAAAATTTTTTTAAATTACTATACAAATAAAATATTTTGTTTCGTATATACGCCAATATATGTGTCTTATGAACATAATAGTTAGGAATTAAAGTTCACACTTAAGCGGTTTAAAGTTAAGTTTTTATTGCCTACTTATGGACGTATACTCAAATGCTGAAGCATACATACTTTCACAATGCCTGATACAAATGTTTATTTTATCAAATATATTTTTATAAAAATCTATAATATATATTTTTTATTCAGCCAATTATTTTTCGACAAGAAGCCATGCGATCGGTTGGAAAAAGTCCGAAAGGGGAGCACTGGAGAGCTTTCACCCCCGCGATAAGTATCGAAAGCAGACCGAAAGCTTCGGCTCACGACTTTTTGCGCTTGCCGCTTTTGGCTTTAGTATTCTCTTGAGGCCGCCGGCGATTGGCAGCGATTATTGCAGTTTGTAATTCTTATTAACTCACGCATAGTACAACCACTCAGTGCATTTAGCCATGTCGCAGATCTGTAAGCGCGGTTTGTTGATCAGCAACCGATTGGCGCCTGCCGCCCTCCGTTGCAAGTGAGTAAGCGGGACGGAGCGAGCGCTCCCAGCGGGCCAGCGTGCGCTGGAAAGAGACGGCAGGCCGGGGGTACACGTTGCAGATGCAGCGGTGTCATTTGCCAAGGTCATTGCAGTTGCCGGTCGCACTGCAGCGACACACTTGTGTTTGTTTTCACCAGCACTGCATAATTTGTTTGTCCTTGTGGCTCGTTCTCCAGTTTTAGCGGGTCTACTAAATCTGTTCTCCGGATTTATTGTTATATCAGCAGGGCCTTTGATTTCATCACCATTTGCTCCAATCGCAAATCTAAAGCAAATATTTCCGCTGTTTCCAGCTGTTTTTATCTCGTCAGCCAATATTTGCATATGTTTTGGGCCCTCCACCTATATAGTATAGACTGAATTGCCAACGGACGTATGCGTATTTATTTTTAAAGCCAACCTTATGACGCTCCATGCTATTTTTTGCCATTTTTATTCCGCTCGAAAGAACATTTTGAAACCACATGATGGACAGATAGCTTGGTAGATAACGAGTGGCAAAGGGCCTAAATCACTTCACTTCAACGCTCTTGAATGAATTATTATTTATTTAGTGGTTAGGAAAATATGAAAATGTTATTTTACTAAATATTTGAACTTGTACGAAATCAACTATGGAAAAAATCTCAAAAAGTATTCAGTTTACATCAAAATTAGCAAATTTTAAATCGCCCTTACCGCTGAGGTATTTAGAAAGTCATAAACGCTATGAACCGAACCCTCCTGATGACGCTGAAGGACATTGTGCACGTGTGGTCCAACGACCCGGGAGAGCGGATGAGCCGAGCGAACAGAGTGTAGGGTATTCGTGGCCATATCACGCTTCTGTCGCGTGCTCTTATTTCCATTTTATGGAGCTCCTTGGGTTATGGGCGGTTTGTTTTATCGAAGTGAGTTGATGTTTCCTTTTGATTTCCTTCGGCAAATCAAACAATCAGATTCGAAGACAGGTGGCGCCTAATTAATTTAAGTTTGATAACTTCCGCGATTTATTGCGGCTCTGAATATCGAGAAGGAGACTCGGAAAGCCGGCTACGTCAGCACACAATCATCGACCTTATCGCTGACGTAGGCTGAAATGGGGATCTATATGGTATACTTTGTAATCGCCGACCGAGTTCCAATAACATGTTTACAGCTGATAAGGGGCGGGGGCCATTTAAGACCCCCATGTCGTTGGGGTTGCGAGGTGTTAACAGTGGGGGCGAAATCCAAGAAAACCTCTAGATGACTTTCAAACTTTAGTCATGAAAGCGAAATGATAAATGATAGCCACAAGTGGCCAGACGAGGATGAGATAACCCACTAAACAGTTTCGTAATCTACCTATTAAGTTTAAAACAGATAAGAATTTCGTGGCGCGTGAGGGCATTCTTGGGTTAAAGGTTGACGGAAAATATAAATCACTTGGCAAGTTTGCCAGATATTGCGATTACAAATATTAAAAGTATTATCATTTTAGATCAACATGGTTCTCCGAGGTGCAGATGGGTCCACCCGATGCCATCCTGGGCGTTACGGAGGCCTTCAAGAAGGACACCAACCCGAAGAAGATCAACTTGGGCGCTGGCGCCTATCGTGATGACAACACCCAGCCCTTCGTGCTCCCCAGTGTTCGGGAGGTGAGTTCATATCATACTTAAGCTAAGCCGTACCCTAAACATAGTATTTGTTTATGACCAGGCCGAGAACAGAGTGCTGAGCCGAAAGCTGGACAAGGAATACGCCACAATCATCGGCCTTCCCGAGTTCTACAACAAGGCCATTGAGCTGGCTTTGGGCAAGGTAATTATATTCCGGATAGCTAATCAATACCTTGAATAATAACCAATCGAATTACAGGGATCCAAGCGTCTGGCGGCCAAGCACAATGTGACCGCCCAGTCCATCAGTGGAACTGGAGCTCTACGCATCGGAGCCGCCTTCCTGGCCAAGTTCTGGAAGGGCAACCGCGAGATCTACATACCGTCGCCATCCTGGGGCAACCATGTGGCCATTTTCGAGCACGCCGGCCTGCCGGTGAACCGATACCGCTACTATGACAAGGACACCTGTGCCCTGGACTTCAGCGGACTGATCGAGGATCTGAAGGTGAGGATTTAAATTACCACTGATTCATTTTCTTTAGCATGCTTACCAATGGTCGTAATGTATTTCAGAAAATCCCCGAGAAGAGCATTGTTCTTCTGCACGCCTGCGCCCACAACCCCACTGGAGTGGATCCCACTTTGGAGCAGTGGCGCGAGATCTCGGCGCTGGTGAAGAAGCGCAATCTGTATCCCTTCATCGACATGGCCTACCAGGGATTCGCCACCGGCGACATTGACCGCGATGCGCAGGCTGTCCGCACCTTCGAGGCCGATGGCCACGACTTCTGCCTGGCCCAGAGTTTCGCCAAGAACATGGGATTGTATGGTGAGCGTGCTGGCGCCTTCACCGTGCTGTGCTCCGACGAGGAGGAGGCTGCTCGCGTCATGTCGCAAGTGAAGATCCTGATCCGCGGTCTGTACTCCAATCCCCCGGTCCATGGAGCTCGTATCGCCGCCGAGATCCTCAACAACGAGGACTTGCGCGCCCAGTGGCTGAAGGATGTGAAGCTGATGGCCGACCGCATCATCGATGTGCGCACCAAGCTCAAGGACAATCTAATTAAGCTGGGGTCCAGCCAAAACTGGGACCACATTGTCAACCAAATCGGCATGTTCTGCTTCACCGGCCTGAAGCCGGAGCAGGTCCAGAAGCTAATCAAGGATCACAGCGTCTATCTCACCAACGATGGTCGTGTTTCGATGGCGGGAGTCACCAGCAAGAATGTCGAGTACCTAGCTGAAAGCATACACAAGGTTACCAAGTAGAGTAGACCAGTGGAGATCGAAGTAGAGATGGAGTTTCTGTAGTACCTTCTAATCGGCACATGTACGAATTTTATAGCACCAACGAAATTGAGAAGTCTAGATAAAACAATGCATTTGGCACACTCTCTATCCATATCTCTGTATATAAGCTAAATGATCTGCCTTTTAATAAATAAAGCATTTAAAATGTTAGTAAACAAGATTCGGAGTTTTTTATGGTAAATTAACCGATTTGTTTAAGCACACACTTTCTTTAGTAGCAATGGTATAAAAGATTGGTGTTCATTTCGCATTTAGATAATCATATTTTACTAGCATCCAATTTTTATATACAACTAGGATCACGGTTTGTTATAACGATATCTTAACTTATCGCTCGGTTCGCAGTACTCCTTGATAATGAGCTTGCACAGGAATATGTGGAATACTATGATTATTGCACACACAGAAACCCAGAAAAGCGTGGGCAATCCACCCAGTTGGTGGCCATGTCGATGCAGGGCGATCAAATGCTGCTCATGCGCGGGAGCTGAATAAGTGGTTTTAATAATTAGTTAACTTGAATATGGTTTCCTTGTGAAAATGCTCACCCTCGACCACTTCCTTTACGTGGATGGCATGGTGCAGCTCTTCCATGTGCTGCTTGTCCTCAGTTATGTATAATATTGCTGTAAGTGGTTCAGTCAGTTTGACTGGGAATTGTCGTCGATTTTGCCTGCAAAATTGTACAATTTCAGTAAAATATTGCCAGGGGATTGCGTGTGGTCTAAAATTACGTGAGCAGCACGGGCTCATCCAGGCAGCCGCCATCGCAAGCGTAGTAGCTCCTGTCTGATCGATCCAGGGCGATGTTGATCACCGCCTTGTTGTCATCATCCACAATAATGGTGACATTGACATGGGTTTTGTTGCCGTAATTGAGGCGCCTGAAGTGGAAGTCCCTATGCAGAAATTTCGGATGAATGTTGCACTCCAGATGCTGATTGCTGAAACGAAAACTGCCAAAGCTCAGGACCATCGCTTGGATGACTCCAGAAGCTCCCGCTCGGATGAGATTGTGGCAGCCCTGCTTCTCCAACGTTAGCATCCACGATGTAACCAGGGAGTTGAGCTGCTGAAGATTGGACATCTCCCGCCAAAGATTCTCCGCCTGCAGAGTGTGATACGAATCGTAGCAGCCTTCGGCGTAGGTCAGCGCCTTTGCTATATCCTCTTTTTTGGAGCCACCTGTCTCCTCGAACTCGAAGCTGCGCACCTGGGACAGAACTGCATACATAGTGGCATTGATGCGATCGCCGTTCAAGCTGTGCTCCGCCTTGGAGGTGCTTATCGTAAAGCCAGTGGCCCACAAATCAGTCCAAACGTCAATGTGCTCCTGACGATAGATGTTTACGCTGTTCAAGGATCCTGGGTTCGAAAGCTTGGAGCCAAGCTTTTGAAGCAGCTTGTCCATCGCATGAGTGGCCTCAACGGCCTCACTTATATCACCGATTTGGGCCTCCGCCACTGGTTTTGAGTAGTACACTGCTGTGGGATACACAATTCGAACTGTGCCTCGCTTTCTCAGCTGCAGTTTGGAATCCATCTGGGGCTTCACTATGCTTATAAGAATGGATTTACTGGGGTTTTCTGCCTGAAGCTGAACTGTGCCCGTGAGCACCTCCAACTTTGTGTAGGTAAACACCCCAACGGAGACGGGTTCACTGAAAGGGATAAATAGGCATGAACATCTCCGCTAACCAAACTGAAGTCCAAACCAAACCTGAGGGGCATTGTCCGCTTGGTAAGCTTCTGGAGATTGACGCGTGGCATGATCAGTTCTATGTCCTCCAAGAGGTTCCTGGTATTTGTGATCTGCAGCTCCTGCATAAAGATATTCGGCTGAGTGCGATGGGCGTAGTAGGTGTACGAAACGAAGTAACCGGCAAAGCACTGGAATCGATGGACCATTCCCGTCAGATACTCCACGACAGTGGCCTCTTTTTCGCCGCCAGATACGGAGCCTCCCGAAACGGAGACCAGCGGCTGGAAGGGAATAGGCAGCTGCATGGCCCTGCCATTCTTGATGTTCAGGAAGGCGTCGTGTGCGATCTCCAGCCCCAGATAGCCATTGCCGACGTAGGGCGTGAAATCGCGTTCATCGGCCATTTTCGCTGGTGACACGTGACGGATATTGGCATCGAACTCGAAGTTTTGGAGGATGAAGGGCGTCAGGCGGTCGTCCATGCACACGCTGTGGGGATCTGCAATGGGCGGGTGTTAGTCCAGGACGTAGAACGCGCTCCACTCACCCTTCTGTTCGGGGGCACTGAGGAAGATATAGCGAAAGATCGGCGGAATCATATAGAAGACCACACAGACGCAGAGGAGCAGAAGGAACAGGCGGCGATACGAGGACATCGTGCCCTCCGCCAGGCGCTTCATTCGACGCATCACGTCGCCGGCGTCGAACTTGCTTTTCGCAGAGCGGAACAACATTTTCCAGCAGTGTTTTGGAGCCCGGAAAATGTCGGAAAACTGAAAAACATTTCAATTTTAGACCATTTTTGCGCTTTCCAGTGAATGGCAACTGTTATAGTGATGGTACGCCTGGCCTGTCACAAATCGATATCTGTGTATATCGGTGTGACTTTTTATTCCCTCGAATTACAGGGTATGTTCCTTGATCGGATGGAGTTTATCCATAGTTTGTAACAGTGAAACTAATATGGTAGTTTTAATATTATGAATCCCTGCTTTACTATAAATTGTAAATATTAATTAAATTTCTTTGTACGTTTTTACGGTCGTGGCTCCCACTGCGATGTTTAAACTGGGCAGTAATGAGATAACTTCTAATTTTATATTGCACATCTGCAGTAACTAAACGCATATCACAGATCCCGGCCCTCCAAGTCCAGAATCGCATCATTGGACTGCAAGAAGGCAATGTCAATAGGTGGAGAGTAAGGTAAACAAAGTTCCTTACCTTTTTGAACCAGAATGAGGGCATGAAGCTGATCCTGTTTCCGAAACTCATGTCGGCAGGCGGGTAAATGCCGTGCAGATGGAGGTGGCGTACCGATATAAACGGCGGCAAGTGAAAGCCGACAATCGCCTCCTTGGGATCCACGTCCTTCGATCTCAGGAACTCCATCATGCCCTGCTCCATGCGCCGGACTGCGTACGGAAATGGCCATTAGTGCGGCTGCCAGTTATGCGAAACGTGGCTTACCCAATCCTACGTGGGATTTATTGAGCGCCTTCAGGCTGTCGAAGTGCTCCTTGGGAATGGCCAGATAGTGATGCTTAGCTGCCGGGTACTTGTCCTTGAAGATCACGTACTCGGCCGTTTCCACCTCCAGGACGGGCGGAGGTCCTTGGCGGCGGTGGGCGAAGTCGCAGAAGAAGCATTTCTGGCCATTCGCCTGCCGACTCTCGCTACTCGTACAATTGTAGATCGATACCAAAACGATGAGGCCCAAACCGGCCAGGCCGGCTATGTACATTTTTGCCTTCCTTTTCATAGGGCTTTTTGACTGGTTCGGCATGTACTTAAGTTTTCTTTTCATGAATACGTTTGTATCTGAGATCGTTTAGATAAACGGAGTAAACATCGCAACGGATATTAATCGGTTAACTATCGATCGGTCTTATGTGCACTTCCAATGCAAATATCCCAGTGCTAGGCGGGAACTTTAAATCTTGTATTTACATTTAAAAAAAGGAATATAGGAGATAAAATACTAATAATATAATACTAATAGTACTAAGTAATTGATATCACAAAAAGCACACAGCTAAGAAACACTTAGCTAAGTTCATAATAACACCTGTGTCTATTGCTTGGCCTAGCAATATTCAAAGTAAAATCTAAACTGTTTTAGCATTGCAACTATTTATATTTATATTTTTGGTTTTAATTTTGATTAAATGTATTATATTCGATATATCACTGGCCTACCACCTGCGATAGTTCGATACCTTTATTTCCTCCTAGCCGTAGTGTGACCGCACGAGCCTATCGCTCATCGATAGTTCGATATTCTTATTGCTTTATTTTATTAGGAATAGCAAACCATTTATCCGTATTTTTTGAATTAGCGACTTAATCCTGCGTTGGTCAAAGCTCAAGCAACCGGAAAAGCACGGGATCGCCGCCGGCCAAGGACGTAAATCACGGGAAAGTCGGGATGTGGCCGCAAACGCTGGAAATGTCGCGGGACGAGTGCCGAGGCATGCTGCGTCGACTGGGTGAGAGCTGAGTGGTCCACGAAATTGAGTCCCATGCTCGGGAGCTCTCGAGGATCGGCCGCCGTGTGGAGCGCAGCGAACTAAAGCACATTCTTTCTGTTGTCTCTGTTTTTGTGCCCACCAGAACTCGAGTCCTATTCGCATGTGGTGAGCGTTTTTCGCGCCCAAGGAGCACTCAGTGAAACCAAGGCAAAACTGCTGGAGGAGCTGCGCCAGCAGTTCCACATCAACCAGGAGCGCCATAGGGCGGAAGTGCGGAGGGCGGCCAACGACGAGCAGCTCTGCACCATAGCGGAAAAGTGAGATTACGCCCGTACTCCAGTGAAAACCCATACTAATCCCCTGTGTATCTGTACTGCCCTTGCAGCGTTTGTGGTCCCAACACCTGGCAGGAATGGTCGCGCGAGGGACGACGCCCTTATCCTCTGCTTCCTAGGATCAGTCCACAAACTGCTCTGAGCATCGTTGCCAATGATCTGGCGGCCAAAGTCTGCGAGGAAAATGCCAAATTGGCGGCTCCGGCCGAAACGGCGGCCCTCTTTGGAGAAGCCCTCATGGAGCAGGCCTCGCTGATGAGCCTGAAATACCTGCGTGGCGCCAGGACCCAGGACCCCGCCATGGTGATCATGGAGGAGCCGGTGAGTTACATAATCCCAGCCATGTCGTTTCCCTCGCTTGAGGATAGCGAATGTGCAGACTGTACCTGCCATGAAAACAAGTGGGTGGCTGCTTTTGGGCGCTGCCAAAAAAGTTGCCTTGGGCTTATTCCCTTTAGAATATTAGCGGAAATGATTGGAATGCTCAGAATACAAGAAAAAATCTAAATTCCAAATGAAAATAAAAATGTGCCACTTAAGCAATCCAGTTGGGTTGTTACATTCCAATCAGAAAGCTAATTAGGCGGGAAAATTAAATTCAGCTCGTTTTCCTTCGCACTAAGTACCTTTACACATAGTTGCATGCACCCTCTGAGTTTTCCAATCGCTTTTCGTTTATTTCTTGATATATCTCTGGTAATCAGCTAATTTAACTTTAACTGTCGGTAACATAAACCTGTAAGTATCTGTTAACTTGTCATAACATTCTGTTACCGTGCAGCTGTTATCGATAGAGGGTGAACTTTCCGTGCCGTTCAAATTGGATTTTGAATTGGATTATATAACGAGCAAAAATAACTATATTTTTAATTTCTAGGAGTGCGTTTCAAACCTAAATATTTGATTCACCATTGCAAAACTCAGACACTTTTTCCTCTTTTAAATGATAATAACGCAATTTTTGTTTTAAATAATTAAAAATAATAATTATATACAAAAATTCCTTAGTTCAAAGTTCCCGATGTGCCCAACGAGGTGAAGAAAATGACACAGAAGCGCAAGGAGAATGAGAGCGGAATGGAGGGCAAGCCCAACAAGAAGAGGCACATGCAGCAACCACATCCGCAGCAGCCGCATCTGCCGGCCGCGCAGCAGCAGCAGCAACAGCAGCTGAATCCAACCTCCAGTGCCGGCGTGGAGGAGGCAGACCCCGTGCCTCCAGAGAAGCGGCTAACTCCTCGAACGCTACAGCAGCGCTACTTCTACCAGCAGCAGATAAAGCACAAGCAGCGGCTGGCCAGCAAACGGAATCTTAGCAACAGCCTGGGATCACCCTCCGCGCAGGCGGGCAGTCCATTGGGCGGCAGGAACATGCCCTGCTCAGGAGCAGAGCCTTCAGCAGCAAAGCGAATAGCCGCACCCGCCAAGAGCGGCAGACGGGCGCAGAAGCAACTGCAACAGCAGCTGCAACAGAAGTTGCAGCACCACCAGCAACAGAAAGTATTAATGCAAGTGCAGGAGACGGTGCCCAATCACATGGTGGTCCAGCCGCATGTGGAGTATGTGCTGGATGAGGCGCTCAAAACGCTGGCGGCATCCACTCCCCCCACGCCCACATCCACAGCCACTTCTCCATACACTATCCTAAACGAGCCAAGGCCACTGGTCACACTGAAGCCACTGAAGACCATTAAGCCCGTGATCTATGGGCCGCAAAGTAGTCTGGCGTCGGCCGAAATTGGATCGCCCACAACGCCGGCCTCTCGGGGATTCGCCAACTCTCCAATTGTGTTCAAGGAGAAGCTGCAGGCGACGCCCGTGCAGGTGTCCACACAAGGTCAGGGCTCGCCCACCAAGAAGTTTGTGGCGGAGGAACGCCACTCGGAAGCGGTGCCCGCTGCGGCCACTGCAGCCACTACACCCATTTCCACCGCGAATCTTCCATTGGCGCCGCAGATAATCAGTGTTCAGAAGATCCCAGCTCCCTCGATGGGCGGTAAGCTGAGAGCAGCCGTGGCCTCGCCCACCAGTTCCGCAAACTCCACGCTCCTGCCACCGGGCGCCAAGACAACGCCCAAGAAATTCAACATCCTTGAGGGCGATGCCAAGCCCAAGACCTTGCCCAGTTCAGCGGTTCGCCTGCTGCCTTACACGGAACCCATTGGCACTCCATTGTCGCCACTCAAGGATTCTAGGGTCCACTCCAGCAGCGCTTCCACCGTCAACATCATCAAGAATATACCAGCTAGCAGTTTAAACAACACACTGATCACTCCGCTGCCCTCAGCCGGAACCACCATGCCGGCGAATCTGTTTCGAGCGAAGGTGACGCCGCCGATCAAAGGAGCCAGTGGTGCTGCAGGCGGCGCAGCCGTTATTGGTGCCGCAGGAGCAACGGGAATCGGTGGAGCAGGGGCTGGGCCCCAGATTCTAGGGAATATCAAGCTAACCAGCAGCTCGGGCGGAGCAGCCACTATTAAACAGGTGCCCAGCAGTGCCCTGCGCAACATAAAGATTTGCTCACCCAATGGCAAGCTATTCCTGCAGCCGGGCAAACTGCCAGCTGGAAGCATTATTCACAAGTTTAATAACGCAAGCAGCACTGCGGTCTCTGCAGCGGGAGGAGTAGTGACCACCACCACCACTGTATCGCCAACAAATCTGGCGGCGAGGGAGCAGAGGATCAGCATACAAAAGATACTCCAGCCGGCGACAGGAAGCGCAAGCAGCGGAAGCAGCAGTCCCACCACCACCACGACGACCATATCCGGCTTGACCTCCAGTGCCAAGCAGCCAAGTTTGGGCAGCAAACCGACCACTCTGACCTTCGCCACTGCGGGCGGTGGTAAGAATAATCTGGTCTTCCTGCCAGCGAGCGCGGCGAGTGGAATGAGGGCACTCACCCTGGCCACCAAGCCGAAATCCAATGTGCTGGTCATCGGAGCAAGCACCTCGCCAGCGCCCACAACCAGTTCATCCGGCTCATCTCCCAATCCCTCAGGCGGTACAAAGCCCAAAGCCAACCAACTCATCACGGAGGACACACCCATCGATATTATCAACATGCCCATCATTGTGGCAGACAACGGAACCGCTGCGGAGCTCAATCAGGCGTCGGTGAAGAACTCGCCCCTGGTGGTGTTCAATGCCACCGATTGGGAGATGGAGCTGGATCAGGCAGCCACCAAATTGGCCACCACAACCTCGAAGCAGGCTCTGGACGATGTAATCATCGAGGAGGACGAGGACACCGAGGAGGAAGCTGGGGAGCGCAGTGAGCAGCCATCTGCCATGGACCTGAACAATAGTAGTGAGTCTTCCTTTTCGCCCCTGTGCAGCTAATGTGCACGTAATCCGAACTTCTGCATTACTTTCCAGTAATTGAGCTGCATCCGGAGGATGACAGTGCCATCGAGTATGTGGACATGGACCTGGAGCAGCCCATTGAGATCGAGAGCACCAGCAACATATCGCCAGAGACGGCCACCACCACCCTGAAGGCGGCCATCGTCTCGACGTCCCCCCAGCAGCAGAAACAGAAGCAGAAGCCCCTGGAGCATCCACTGGAAGCAGCAGGAACAGGGAGCAGCGCAGGAGCAGCTACCCAATAGATCGGTTGTCCAATCAGCAATTAAGTTACCTTAAACGATCCCCATTTCGAGATATTCGAGTGAGAGAACGCACACACACAGCATACAGCATACCCGGTTAAATTAGATTTAGTTGGTAGTTTAGCGTCAATGTCGAAGGTTTTCCCACTAATTTCAAATGATCGCACCCTGCAGCCTTGGAGCAAAGTGCAAGATAATCGTAAACAGTTCTCTATGCTTGTGTTTGTGGAGCCTAGGTTGAATCGCTCGCAATAGTTAAGTTGCCAAATCACACAACCACCACTGTTCTAAACATAGTATCGTATAGTGAGAAGTATACCCTGGAGTTCGTGTTAGTTTAGTTTTACGCGCCCATTTCATTCGCCTGCAAGCTGCGGAGCCTGGAATCGATCACCCACTCTCCTGTAAATAGGGCAGAAGCCTCTGCGAACGGACTACCTTAAATTGTACA